GGTTTTCTAATAAAGCGTATGACTGGACAGTCGAAAACTAGAAACAAAAAAGAAACATGAACACATGCTTCATATTCAGTGACAGTCCGTCCTGTCTGGAGGTGTGTGTGTGTGTGTGTGTATAAGTAATGTAATACCTGAGGACTGAGATATCTGCTTGAGGTGAAGCTGAGGGCAGATATCAAGGGACTCAGGTATTACATTACTGATACTCACCTCCAGACACACACTCACACACACCGGTCACTGAATACATATAATATAATTATAATGTACATTACATTAGAGATGTAGATATTACATTTCAATAGTTTAAGTTCTAACATACTTCACTATCGTTAGTATCATCACCACCGACTTCTTTTCTGAATACATTACCAACTGATGGAGTCACCGATGAAGAAGGGGAACAATCCAATAACTAATAAATAAATAAAATAAAATAAACAATTCATTATACTAATGATTGCTAATCAGCCCCTAATAGCCTAAGTACACATTGTCAACGCTCACAAAAACAGCACCGTACCCCCCCCGGCCTGTATGGTGGACACACACAAATTGGGATATAACGGAGGGAGAGAGAGAGGGAGAGAGAGAGAGAGAGAGAGAGAGAGAGAGAGAGAGAGAGGAGGGGGGAGGGACAGCGAGGGAGAGGGACAGTGAGGGAGAGAGAGGGAAGAGAGGGAAGTGAGAGGGAGAGAGGGGGAGAGAGAGAGAGAGAGGGAGGGAGGGAGATAATACTCCTATACAAGGTAATATCAGTCATAGTGTTGAATCAATATGATCAAACTGTTAATTAGCACATAAGCCTTTGAGCACATAACTTAACTATGTAAGGAGAAAGAATGAGAGGGAGAGAGAGGAAGGAATAGTAAAGAAAGTGTTGTGAGAGAAAGAGAAGGTTGAAAGAGAACTGTTCGTGTACATGTACATATATCAGACAGACAGTCTGGTAAAGGTGTGATATCACAAAATGAAAATTATGTCATTTATACCGTGTACATATGTACCTGTATATACAAGTATATATAGACTGTATATACAAGCAAAATGTCTCCTATGATGCTTAATATAGACACAACAACAATAATAAATATAATTAAAAAACAACAAGACTACAGTGTAGCCTCTTTATTGAGGACACCATTGGGCCCACACTACCTGTCCTTAATACATGTACAGTGTAGCCTCTTTATTAAGGACACCATTGGGCCCACACTACCTGTCCTTAATACATGTACAGTGTAGCCTCTTTATTAAGGACACCATTGAGCCCACACTACCTGTCCTTAATACATGTACAGTGTAGCCTCTTTATTAAGGACACCATTGGGCCCACACTACCTGTCCTTAATACATGTACAGTGTAGCCTCTTTATTAAGGACACCATTGGGCCCACACTACCTGTCCTTAATACATGTACAGTGTAGCCTCTTTATTAAGGACACCATTGAGCCCACACTACCTGTCCTTAATACATGTACAGTGTAGCCTCTTTATTAAGGACACCATTGAGCCCACACTACCTGTCCTTAATACATGTACAGTGTAGCCTCTTTATTAAGGACACCATTGGGCCCACACTACCTGTCCTTAATACATGTACAGTGTAGCCTCTTTATTAAGGACACCATTGGGCCCACACTACCTGTCCTTAATACAGAGGTGTCCTCATTTCAGAGGTACTTTTGTATAGGCTTGTACCAATTGGGACATTACAAAATGTCCTCATTATAAAGGCGTCCTAATTTCAAAAAGTAGCAGCTGTCATTAACTTATTATTAATAAAATTTTAAATGTTATGACACAGGTTGTGTTGTCTAACCAGTCCCTTATACATAGTCTATTTATAATAAACATGACACAGCTAGGGAATAAAAGATAAAAACAAATTTTAATATATCCAACATTATTACAATAGAACTGCATGCCCTCACTTTTGATAATAATAATAATACTAACACAACTCAAGATTTGCCAAATTTATAAATAACAACAATAAAAGTGACGCTAATAAACTAATAATAATAAGTACACTACAGCACTTTTAGCAGATTAAATGGAGTTGTATTGTTATAGATCTCTCTGTTATACAGAGGTGTCCTTTATGTGGAGGTTATTTTATAAAGTAAGGAATATAATTGGTACACTAGGTGCTGTCCATTAAATGGAGGCGTACGCTATAGAGAGTGTCCATTAAGAGAGACTATACTGGTACATCAAAACCTCCAATACATCTAGACATTAGTGCCACAATTTGTACTTAAAATAAATACACACACATACACATGTAACTGTACAATTCAACGTATACTTGTTTGTTTTTGTATAACTTACTCTTTCCATCGATCGACTTCTCTGTCTACTTCTCAACAACATGACTCCTCCTGTTTCTCCTTCTTGGTTTGTTTTCTTAACCTTTTTCCTCTTCTTCCTCAATTCGTCAACATCAGATAGAATTATGGTGATGTCTTCGCTTGAAGCAGCTGAAGAACTAGCGGGAAGAAGAAGAACAGGTAGAGTAGTGCTTGATACAATATGGCTGGCTATGAATGATGAGGTATTAATGGTTGCCGCTTTTCTATCTGAAGTTGGAGGAACTAGAAGGCCAGGCAAAGGAGAAGTATTGTCGCAGCTTCTTCTCCAGCAAAGTTTTGCTTTTCCGTTTGGTTGTGGAGAGAGAGGGAGAGCAGTATAATGGCCTTTAAGAGAAAGCTCTTTGGATTTATCATTGTTTGCAGTAAACTGCCACATATTGACATCAACTTGAGGGGAAGACACTATTAATAGAATAAACTTTGACTGTCCTTTTTGGTCTCTTGATTTGAAAACAAATCCAGCTGCAACTCCTGCTGCTGTTCCCTCTCCTCTACAACTAACTACACACTAGCTATGGTTGCCAGGCTCTACGTGACTGTTATTTGAAAGAATTTTGCTGCTTCATTGCACTCCAGTTAAACTCCCACAACATAGCAAGACTGTTTTCTCTCACAGAATAAACTCAACTTAAGCAGCTAGTACCGACATCTCATACATATTCATCAACAGGGGCCGTCTCCCTCCCTCTCTCTCGATAAGTTGTATGGTAAAATAAACACTTGGTACTATCATAATAAGGCAGGGATTAGCAGCAATTATAACCCGCCAAGTTAACAAGGCCTAGTGTAAACTATTACAGCAACTTACCTCGTACAATTATGACAGCGAAAATTATAATTTCCGAGAAGACAAGGGCAAAGAGAAGGCTTACTAGACTAGCTGCTTTGTTTTTTATATTTCTTTTTTAAGGAGGGGGAATATTCCTTCACCTGGGCGGTGCAAGGCTCTAAATGGACCGAGCCACTACAGACAGAAGGGAAGCCGCAAACACAATGAAAACAGTCAAACCAAAAATGACTGATTTGCTTGTAGTAATGACGTTACAAGTTGTAGAAAATACTACTAAAGAGTAAATATTACATTAGGACTCACCTTTTCTGTTTTACTTTAGTAGGAGAAGATGTAGAGAGATATGAAGGTGAAACTGAGCGAGCTGTAGGAGAGAGTGACGGCTCCACGTACCAAGATGTCAGAGAATGTCTCGTTTTCTTCTGATGAACCTGGGGCGGTGCTAGGTCTGGCAGCAGAGACGACTCGCTCTTATTACTAGACTTTCTGTTTTTCATTGCCTTGATATAAGTGAAAGAAGTAGAGCTTGAGTGATGTTTTCAAAACTCTGTACTGATGATGAAAATACAAAACTACTCAAGCAAAATTGCAACAGATGTTTAGGTTCTGCTAGACCAGAGCATTCCTAGCATTTCTCTCATTAACATTCCCTCGCAATTTTAACAATATTATGATTATTATCCTATTATAGACAAGAAGGGGAAGAAACAGATTTGGAGGTGTGCAAGTTTGGTGAAACTGCAAATTAACGAGCCACTCCCCCGCAAGGTTTTAACGCCCACTCAAATGGGTGGGGCTCAAATGAGCTTGAAATTTAATTAATGGAGAAAGTCAAAATTAAAATAAAAATTGCCAAACTTGAGGATAATTGTGACTAATATCTTTGCTGCTAAGCTGCATACAAAGAAATAAAATATAATCTGAGCCATATTGGTTCTTAAAACAAAAGAACAATGGGTTTCCATGAGAGGGTGTGGTTAAAAACTGCTCATTCTGCACGTGTGAATAAGCAGCAACATGGCGTTAGTTACTGAAGGCATTCTTTTTGGCATGGGGAACCCTCTCCTTGACATATCCGCCGAGGTGCCAGCCTCCTATCTCCAGAAATACTCCCTGAAACCTAATGACGCCATCCTAGCCGAAGAGAAGCACATGCCGATATACAGCGAGCTGATCAAAGATCACCAACCAGTACAATATATTGCTGGAGGTGCTACACAAAACAGTATCAGAGTCGCTCAATGGATGCTCCAGAAAGAAAAGGCTACTAGTTATATAGGTTGCGTGGGAAGTGATGATTTTGGTGAGAAGCTAGGAGCTCAAGCAGGCGGCGATGGTGTCCGTGTATCTTATCTCAAGTCAACGGAGCATGCAACTGGTACCTGTGCTTGCTTGATCACTGGTAAAGTACGCTCACTTGTCGCTAACCTTGGAGCTGCTAATCATTACAAGAAAGACCATCTCTTGCAGCCGGAGAATTGGGCCCTTGTTGAGAATGCCCGCTATGCGTACATCAGCGGGTTTTTCCTCACCGTCTCTCCGGAATCAATCGTCGAGGTCGGGAAACATTGTGCAGAAACCAACAAGTATTTCATGATGAATCTCTCGGCTCCGTTCATACCAATGGTCTTCAAAGAGAAGCTCCTTGAGGCTCTGCCCTACACTGATATACTGTTCGGCAATGAAGGAGAAGCAGATGCGCTTTCAGCCGCATTGGATCTTGGAACAAAGGACATCAAAGAAATTATTAAAAAGGTCCAGGTACTGCCTAAGGTTAATCAAGGCCGTAAGAGGATCGTTATATTCACTCAAGGAGCTGGACCAGTTTTAGTCTGTCAGGATGGAGAGGTTAGTTGAATTAGGATGTGAAGTCCAGCTAATTATGATCATTATTTAAACAAGTTAAGTGTAGATCATAATAAGTATAACCTCACATTGCATGTCATAATTTGAAGCCTCAGTGTACATAATACTGTTGGTGAGGAATCTTTAAAATGCAAATTAAAAGTGACACATCAAAAATAACTATAAACACAGAAAAATCTAAATTTAGTAGAGCCAAACCTTAATTATTCACATTACAAATCATTCAGTATCTTACTACTTCATAGACGACAGAGTATCCAATAATCCCAGTGACAGAGGAGGAGATTGTCGATACTAACGGAGCTGGTGATGCTTGGGTCGGAGGTTTTCTCTCTCAACTCGTTCAACAGAAATCAATTGAAGACTGTGTTAAAGGAGGGAACTACGCTGCAAACGTGGTCATTAAGCGCTCAGGATGCACCTACCCGGAAAAACCTCAGTTCTAATGTTACTATATTTAGTAACGGGTACTGATGTTACTATATTTAGTAACGAATTGTGTACTTTTATTATTATTAATTTATTATAATTTCAATTGGTTTGTGCTAAAAATAATCATTGCTGATCTAAATAAATATTATTTATTAATAAAAAATTTAGAAAAGAATTCAATTCTGTTGTCTCTCCTTCCTTTTAACGCGTTCCAAAGCTTCGCTGTAGGACAGGACCTTGGGCTTATGTGCTTTTATGTACTATAAAAATAATTTAAAATTTAACTGATCATCCATTAAACTTTTATAGTGACATGTACACTTTATATGGGCAAAAGTCCCTGGCCAAAATTCATGACAATTAGTACAAATAGTGAAGATATTATTTACCTCTTGAGTCCCATCCAGTGTAACGTACTGATGGTCAGGTTGAGTTGAGGTCAGTATTGAGTCAGAGAGACACTGTGCTCTAGCAATGAAATGTCTTGTTAGAGCCAGCTGCGAGTTAGTGAGGTCTTTAATGGCCAGCAGTGCAGGAGAATAACCAGCCAGGACTGTTTCATGTTAAAGAAAGTCATGATGAGGAAAGAGAAAGAAAGATGCTTTACTTTAAAACTTTTACAGTTTTTCGCGAATCAGCATGCAAAAGCTTAGCAAAACCATTAAGGGTGATATAAATGTGCGAATGAACAAACAATTCTTTTTAAATTCATTTTTAATAAATTTGCGAAAGTAACGGGCTAGAGAAAGAAATAGGATAGACATACCTTCTAATGCTTCTGGTCTTACAATATGAGGGAGCAATGGTGTCGTGTTTAAATGTCCTCCATCAACCGGAGGCAACAGGAAAGACGTCTTCTCTTCTACCTCTCTCTCACCGTCTGTCTGTGTGCCAATGTTTTTAAGAGTATCGGGTTGCCGTGGTAATGAATGTGGGCGTGTACTTGCATCTAAATTTGAAGAAGAACCAACTAAAGTTTCATCGTCATCATCTTCTTCAAAATCGTCAGAGCTGTAATCTGCCAATAGGTCTCCATTGTCAGTTTTAATTGACTCTTCCTCCTCCCTATCAGTGACAGTTTGGGTGTTACTATAAATAGACTCTTCCTCGTATTCATCTGTGCTATTTTTAGATGCAAGTGACACATCAGATTCCATCTTGAAATTCATTTTAGTGTTTTTTCCATTTTCATCCTCAGACATCAGGTCATTAATCGTTAGCACAATAGACCCCGCCTCTAAACCCCGCCTACCATCATCTGCTGATCGGTCACTCTCCTCATCACTAACTTGAAATTGAACGTTCTTTAGTAACGAATTCTCTTCTTCGTCAGACGATGACTCCATCCATGATTCTACATTTTCGGAAGTCATGCTCCGATCACGCCCACTCACAGTCTCTAGGTGGGTGTGGTTCAACAATGTTCGCCGCTTATTATATTCAATCAGTGATCCAGAGTTTGATTCGCTTGATAACGTAGTCTCCTCTTTGTCTGACAGAAGCTCTTCTTTACTGAGAGTTTCTTCTTTCTTTTTGGTCCATTCATTTCCTTTAAAGTGGGCGTGGCTTGACACTCCTCCCACGCCCCCAGTTTTAATGAGCTCTCTTGTATTTTTAAGGTAGAAGCTTAGTTCGTGTCCTCCTTCTCCTCTGGAGGGCCTTTTTGAAGAGTAATTTGCTGCCATTAGTCATGAAATGAGGTGGGCTTTAATAAGAAAGTAAACAACACAATAGCACGTTGACGGGCCACTACGCATGCTCAGTGTAGTTATTAAAAGTTAGTTAAAAGGCGGGGCTTGCAATAAAATTAATTAATCTAGAGTTCAAGACAAGAAGTTAACATTATCAATTGAATTGAGCTCAAAACAACTTTCCATAAACAATTTTAAATTGCATTAAAATGATTAATATTATATTAAATTACAAAACGAAAATCTCACACTCTCACGCACACACAAAAGCAATAAAATCAAATCTCCAGTCACTATCTATCTACTTATGTATAAGTCTTGAGTACTCGTTGCTTTCCTCCTCTCTCTCCTCCTTCTCCTTAGCAGCTGCTGCTGGTATCACAGGTGGGTTATACCCAGAGCTTCTTATTAACCCAGAGACTGGTCTATACCCTCCTCCTCCACTGGTAGTACGAGACACTTCCATTGATGACAACCTGCTGCTGTTAGCACTGCTCAAAGGAACATTACCAATCACTATTGGTAGATCAATCCACTGTGCTTTGATGCATTTAGCTCCAAACTCCACGCGTATGAAATACCCAATGTGTACATAAGAAAAGTTATCGAGTGAGAGTTCCAGCTGGTCAGGAATCGTGAAACGAGGAACATTCCAAGTAAAGGAAATTCCTTTTCTTGGCATTTGAGTATTAGCGTTGCTATGGACAAGCCTTTCAAGGATTGACGGCTGCCCTTGAGCGTAGCAGGTTATCCTTTGAATAAGAGCAGTCGATATAAACTGCAGCTGCGTCCCACGTCCAGGTTCGACTATGACTTGAACAGGTATTTCATCAGCAACCCTACAGTAACCTGTCCTTGCTATAGTAGACGTCACCGTTACGTTATCTCTACTTATACAACCCGCCATGATTTCTTTTTGAGCTGATCGAGGGGAGAGAAGTTCTCCTCTATTGATGTCGACGTTACTTTGAATCTCAATCCTCTTGAAGCAAGAGGCTGATTCTATCTCGCTGGTATCGTTACGTATTAACTTTGCTTCAATGTTGTAACGTATTTTTGCATCTCTACAATCTAAACTTGAAGGAAGAGAAGCATTAGGCTCAGATTGCAAGGAGAGAGAAAAAGGAAAGACATAGCTACCACTGGCATTAATACTAGTGGTGCTTTGTCCTTCTTCCCAAAGAGTTAACACCTTTTTGAAAAAAGTATTAGACTCGGTAAAATGCCTGCCATCTCGTCCCCCTCCGCTCTGAGGGACAGAGAAATACACATCTACCTTACCAAGGACTGCTACAGTGACTCGCTTGTACTTCAGATCTTGACTGCCTTCTCTGATGGACAGGAGGACCTCGCCGGCAACCTCTGAGGTTGGAGTGTACAAGACTCCTTGCGGCTGCTGAGAGAGAGCAATGGAAAGTTCTACTCCTTCAGTTTGAACGGTAGACATGACCTAGGCTATTGTGAAGAAGAAAGGCTATAGTTGTTGTATAGATTGGTCACTGGTGACAGCTCCTCCTCTTTTATTGCTGATGTTGTGTTGTTGATCAATTTTGAGCCATTTTGATGAAGTTTGGTTATTGTTTTTCATTTCTCGAGAAGACTAATGTCAGCTATTTTGTTTATGGCAATAAGAAGAAATGATAAACATAAAAATTGGTGAAATGTTTTTAGAAAAGGCTCAAAATTCTTCTAATTTTTACGAGGGTTACATCAACTTCGATTTCAGTGTATCATCATTCATCAAAAAATTCAAATAATAACAAGATTTTTAATGATTTAATGTGATAATTAGAGCCTTATCATACAGAGGAGAGAGAGAGAGAGAATAAAAATAATAAATAATTATTAATAATTATATTATTATAGCTCTGGTCCATTAATTAAAACGTCTATAAACGAATACAGCCACTGAATAAAACCCTTTATACTTGACCACACCCCTTCCTTCGACACCAACAAGTCCCGAAGATCTTTCTCGTTATTAATATAACGATTAATTATACTGAGTTTAAGTGGGCGGGGCCAATTACTGGCTTTACCCTCGTCCAGGTTTAAAAGACACACCTGCTCCATCTAAGAGAGGGAAGTAGGATACTCTGTTAATATACAGCAGCTGGTGTGAGTGTGTTGTATTACGTGTTGTCTGAGGGAGAAAACAGTGTCGTATTTGTCAGACGAGAGTTTAATTAGTTTCTTAGCTGTCTTCAATGGGATTTCAACCTAATGATAATAATAATAATGACAATGATGATGATGATGAAACTTTTATCTGATACATATACATGTTCTTATGTTGCATAAAAAGTTTGAGTTGATTCCAATCAAGATTGGATTTAAATTTTTTTTTAACAATTATCATAAAAATTACTTCTTTAATGTAAGCTTGGTAATTCTGATCTTGTCTCTGAGCTGATATCTCCTCCATTTTATTCTAAAATAAATCAAAATTACTTTTAATAATAAAAATAATAATTTCACTAACTGATATCTCTCTTTTGACGGTCACAAAAATTTGCATATCTTCAAAATTAGCCTAAAAATATAAAAAATTTTTAAATTTTATTTAAAAAATAATAAAAATTGTCACACCATTGCTGCATTGTAAGATTCAAAGACATTATCTTTCTCTTCCTTTAACCTGTAAAAATCAGTAAATCTCAGTATACCATTCCGTATATTCTAGTATATTTCAGTATAACATAGTATATTCCAGTATACTCTAGTATATTACCTCTGTTCCAAGTATGACTCATTGACAGGAAATGATAATCTTTTTGGGCTCGTTGCTTCAGTAAATAAACCAATGAGCTCCGCCCCCTATTAATATAATTAAATTATTAAATTCTCTCCCCTCTCTCTCTACTTTTTCTCTGCAAGTTTTTCCGACTAAAACTTCATTTTCTTCTCTTAAATGTTCGACAGCTTTTGAGAGCTCAGACTATATGCCATAGAGACCCATATAAAATGATTAATAATACACAGTTAATACACGGGAACTGCAATACTTTATAGTATCCCTGGTAGGCTGCATACACTTCTTCTCCACTTGCCATTTCACTCTCTTCTTTAAAAATCTAATAAAAATAAAAAAATAAAAATAATAAAATAAAATCATAATGTACACTAATGTATAGACCAGTGAATTTTGGCATTTTCTTAAAATGGCCGTAACTTGAAAAATTGAAGTCGGAATCAGCTCAAACTTTCTACACAGTATAAGGACATCAATATGTAACAGAAAATGTAATAAAAATTTGGGGTCATTTTTTAGCCATTTTTTGGAAAAAACCATGGACTATAGCCTTGGGTATTTTTCAGATTTTTGACATTCTCTTAAAATGGCCATAACTTGAAAAATTGAAGTCGGAATCAGCTCAAACTTTCTACACAGCATAAGGACATCAATATGTAACAGAAAATGTAATAAAAATTTGGGGTCATTTTTTAGCCATTTTTTGGAAAAAACCATGGACTATAGCCTTGGGTACTTTTCAGATTTTGGCATTTTCTTAAAATGGCCGTAACTTGAAAAATTTAAGTCGGAATCAGCTCAAACTTTCTACACAGCATAAGGACATCAATATGTATCAGAAAATGCAGGGTGATTTTAAATGCATAGCAGCTGCCAGCTATAGCCTACTTGATCAGCAGCTGCTTCTGAAGTACCAATGACCGACTGTAGGCCAGTACTGGTTCTTGGAATATCATTAATGTTTAATGATGATTCTTTAAATTTATCTAGAGAGGAAAGAGAAGGATCGTCTGCTAAACAGAGGTGTCCTTTATATGTGGCATTACTTATTGCAGTAACTATGGCAGCTTTTAAAATGACTTCCATTGCTTCAGAATTCTTCAGCTTCACTCCATTAAAAATCCTCTCAATCCCAACCTTAGGAAGATAATTAATAAAAAAAGAAATAAAAAATGGCGGACATACAAGCAGCTGGTTCAAGTGTCTCTGGTAAGAGGAATGGTCAGAAAGTGAGTGAACTTCTTCCCTGAGAGAAAGTGAGAGGGGCAGTTACTAAATGATAATTGTTAATGTCTACTTGTATATCTCAATATGAATCTCCTTCTTCTTGTCCAATATTAGTTGTAAGTCTTTCCCTTTTATCGGGAAACTCAAACTATCCAGAGAAGCTTCAACTTTCAGCTGCAGAAAAATGTTTAAAAATCGAAAGGTTCTTTGTTACTTCTGTCTGACGCTGGACCTCGCTACATCTCAGTTCTATTTTCTTCTCGTTCATGTCCTCTATCTTTTCAAATTTTTCTCCAGCTGCTTTTAAGAGCCTCTCCTGTCCTTTGAGTGTTGTGTTCATTAAACTATTAAGTAATAATTATTATTAATTGATTCTTAATTACTAGTTATTACTAGTTATTACCCTAATAATAACTTGTCTAATAATTCTTGAGCTTTCTTCAAACATCTATCATGCCAGGACTATGAATAATAATTAATTAAAATCAATTAATTAATTAATCTTACAGCCAGTTCGGTAGCATTTACAGCACCTGCAAAAACAAAAAAAACATTTAAAAGTACAAAATTAAAATACATGTACCGTAATTATGTTTCCTTAGCAACACGTTCACCTCGGACTCATAAAACAGAATACAGTCGTTAACTGAATTCAAATGCATTTGCTCCAAGAACGCGTTCCACCTGCTGGGGACCTAAGGGCCAACAAGTCATGTGACTCATCACTTGATGAATATATATATACTTCAGCTAATGATCCTTTATTAGCAGCTGCTACCAATATCTCAAGCAGGGACGCTAACTCTGGACCAGTGATTGATTTACCTTTAAAAATAATTACATATTTTATATTTAATAAGTAACATATAAAAATAATTTATAGTATTATTTTATTTTAATTTGTTATTACCGTTCTTTATCTTCGGTTTCAAATTCAAATTAATCAATTTGAGTAGGCTGTCCCTCTCCTCCTTGTACTCCTCCGTCAGGTCCTCCTCTTTCGCCTGCATATGGGCGGAGCCTGTTACCTAGCAACAAACCACACCTGCTCACCTGCGAAAGATCCTGGAGCAACGACTTTTTAGTAGCAGGGAGAAAGAGGGTGTGGCAATCAACAGATTCAAACATACCTTTAAAATAATAAAAATTAATATAAAATAACGTTCTCCTACTCAGCAAATTAATGTTGTGTTCCTCAGTCTCTCGGCTACTGGTGGACATTATCTTGTGGAGCCATCTTTGTGGTGACTCCTCCCCCTCAGTGCTCTGTACGAAATCCTGAACCACCTGCAATGTAATAATTATAGTAATAATAATAATGCAATTTTAACGCGTGATCCAATACAATGTCAATGTAAAGTTGACACAATGTTAACGCAGTGTTAGTGAAGCACATACCCAAACTAGCGGAGGGAATTGAAGCAAATCGTGATTGAACTCATCGAACCATTTGGACTTTGTTATTTGAGACCGTAAAGCAAATAACTGGAGAAAAAAGAAGATATGTCATCATCATCATCATTATTATTATCATTATTATTATTATTACTCTTGTTCTTCTTGCTAAGAGATCTAAATAGTCAATATCACCCTGATCAATAATCTATGGAAGATATAAATTAATATAGTAGATTATTATTAATTATTATTAATTATCAGTTACTTTGACAGAGTTATAAATGAGGTAAGAGCTGAGTATTGTAGCAACTGCAAATATCTTAGCATCATAAACCTCAGAGATATTGCTAGCGGCAAACCCTGTGGAGAGGATTAAAGAAGGATCAGGACAGAGTACCTTCGGTATCCAGGTATATAATGGCGACTGTCTCCTCGTCTTTATTCTTCATAACCAGAGGCTGCAAAAATAATCAACAATAAATCAATGTCTATTTATAGCCCACGCATAAAACCAAGTCCATTTATCATACAAAACTTCGCCTATTTATAAAACTCCACCCACCTTTCCCCACATCCATATTCCCATGGTTTGCGGTCGTACAGTCGGTCCGATGCTAAACCCTCTCTCTCCTTTCCCCATCAGCTGGTTCAACAGGAAGGACTTGCCGGAGTGGTACTTCCCCACCACTGCTACCACGGCAACGGAGGACGTGATGTAATGCAAATGACGAACATTTTCTGAAACTACTTCCAGGAGCTTGTGGTGATCTGGGTCCGGTCTGACTAGTTGTATCGGCTCTTCTGGTAGAGATTGAAAGGTATCGTAGACTGATGAGGAAGGTTGGGAACCGGGCTCTGAGGTCACGTGATCAGTGGCGTTTTGGGCGGGAACTTTTAGCTCTTTTCCGAGGGAAAATGCAACGAAAAATAAAAGAAAGATTGACCTGTGAACTAAAATAAATAAATAAATAAATAAACAAAAGATAAATAAATAAAAGCTAACTTCACCTGGCATTCTATCAGTAATATCTTCTTAATTGGTAGGTGTGGCTTAATGTTTGGAGGTGTGGCCTCGCTATAATCATAATTTTTGAACCTCAATTAAACTTTTTAATGATAATGTAAAAAGAATTTTATAATAAATGAATTGTTTAAAATGTCACACACAAAAATTAGCTGATTATATATTTTACGGTCGGAATAAGTTCACGACTCTAATAACCTGAATTAGAAAAAGTAATATTTTCTGATTCATAATCCGTGAAGTTTCTCTTCAATATATCAATGGTCATCTTGTGATCAGCTTGACCGAAATCCTAAAAGATAAAAATGTTGTGTCTCCATTACATTCACTTTCAATTGTGGATGCATATAATGTACTGGAGCCCTGGGGGGCAGTGGGGGCCGGTTCAGCTAATTTTAACATATTTTAAGTTTATAATAAATGTATTCATCACTTTAAAGATCCCTCACTGAAATAATACACACACAGTCATGGGTTAGTGACATTACAATTCAAACAGCAGCTGCTAAGGGCCGCCTCTTACCACAGAGTATCCATAAACGTGAATAGATTTCGATTTCTGATGTCGGATTCGTCCTCCGCCCACACACTTGTACTCAAGACCAAGCTCGCTAACTCTAGGAGCAATCCTATCTAGAATGTCAGCTAGAGAAAGAGAGGGAGAGAGAGAATCTCTTCCTAATAGTAAATTATCAGATTATTCACCGTGATATTCTGCCCATTCGTAGCCCCTGACTATAGTCTTTACTTTCCCGCTCTTTTTATCAGTTAGTTCCACTAGTATGTACTTGAAAACCCCGTCAGACTCTATATCTACCTCTGGGACTTTCTCCATTTTTGAGCCACACCTTTTAGCGTGGGAGATACCTCCTGGTTTAATAACTTGTGGGTGGACACCAGGGTGTGGTCTAAATAAAGATGGCGGACAAGACAGAGCTTTTCAAAGCTGTTGTAAAGACAATTAAACTGAGGGAAAAGAATAAGAAAGAAGACAAGAACGCTCACTCGCTTTTATTAAAGAAAAAGAGAAATAACAGCGAGTTTGAAAGGCTGGCAAAAGAAGGAGTAAATGATTATATTAATAATTAAAAGTAATGATAATAATTCTTTCTGTGTCATTGGATACAGGCTAAACTTATAACTGAGCTAAGAGATTTCTTATTAAAGCACAGGAAAGATTACATTGATGCGACAAGGTAGAATGACGATATAATAATGATAATAATAATAATATTATTATTATTATTATTATTATTATTATTAGTTATTTAGCCAGTGAATTCGCTTCAATGAGCGATGAAGAAAGAGACCTCATTGATTCTGGTGCTCAGGACTTCATTAAAAGATGCTCTGAAATGATTACCCAAACTAGAAAACTAATCAACCACTTTAATACAGACGTACCTAATGATAGTGGGCGTGGTCAAGAAAATAGTGGGTGTGGTCAAGAAGAGGTCAAGACGCAACAGAGAAAAGAGCATAGGGTGATGGTTATTGGTTTTTTACAAGTTTATCTAAAAGGTGTCGGATTATTTATTTTTCATTTTAAATCGTATTATTATTTATTTCAATTTTACAGATGTCTGTTCATTATATAGTGAGCAGAAGGCAATACGAGTGAAGAGAATTGTTGAGAAAAAGAAAGCGTAAGATTTTCAGCTTTATCTTCGACCCTTCTCTCTCTCTCTCTATAGTTCTAGATTACAGCCAGAGAGAAGATCAAATAGCTCACCAATCGCTGCTGTAAAACACACCAGTTTAGAAGATGTTAGCACTACTGGTCAGACCAGTTCCGCTACCAGTCAAACCGGTTCTAGTACTAGTCAGACTAGTAGTGATGCTCCTGTAGCTACAAGTGGTGGAGGTTTTAATTTTGAAGAAACTTTAACGTCAGAAGAAAGAGAGATGGTATATTATTTATAGACAGAATAAAGCAACTCTCTCTCTCTCTCTCTCTCTCTCTCTCTCTCTCTCTCTCTCTCTCTCTCTCTCTCTCTCTCTCTCTCTCTCTCTCTCTCTCTCTCTCTCTCTCTCTCTCTCCTCCTTCCCTCCCTCTCTCTCTCTCTCCCTCTCTCTCTCTCTCCCTCCCTCTCTCTCTCTCTCCCTCTTTTCTTCTTCCCTCTCTCTCTCTCTCTCTCTCTCTCTCTCTCTCTCTCTCTCTCTCTCTCTCTCTCTCTCTCTCTCTCTCCCTCCCTCTTTCTCTCTGTTAGTTCCAGCAGGAGAATGCTTTAATGATGAGTCATATGTCTTCTTTGGTTGATGAAGTGCGTCAAATTGAAGGAAAAGTATTAGCAATCTCAAAACTACAAGAAACATTTACTGAAAATGTACTGAGACAAGTGAGTTCAACCTGCCTTGTATACTATGATATATTCCAGTATAACTTTGTGCACTGTTGCATGTATGCTGTATATTTTAGTATACTATTGTATATTTCAGTATACTTTTGTAAATTACAGGCGGAAGGGCTCAACGCTATACATGAGATGACAGTAACTTCAACTGAAAACGTGAGAGAAGGAAATGAAGAAATAAGAAATGTAAGTCAAACATTATTATTTATTTATTTATATATTATTATTATTTAAATTTTCTCTTTCGCCAGGCTATCAGAAACAAGGCTAGCCTACGCATGTGGATTCTATTCATTTTAGTCGTCTGCTCGTTTATCCTGTTATTTCTTGACTGGTACAGCTGAAAGAGAGAGGGAAAGGAAGCATAAGACCAGCTGTCCTTTATAAGTCCCTCTCTTCAATATCATGTAGCATACAATGTTAAAAGATGATGATTTTACTGTAAAAAAATCACTTTATTTTCAAAAATTGGTTGCACAAAAAAACATTACAAGTTTCATTATCAGAATAGCAAAAACTTGACTAAATGAAAGTTGAAAGCACACAAAAGTATGACTATTTCTTTCTGCCAATATAAGTATCATAATTATCCGTCATGTATGCTTTTACGAAATAAGAGACAGGTACTTTCTCCTTCTTACCATCCTTCACCTCATCAACCTTTATCTGGAGGTGCTGATCTAGTACCTCTAGAACCTGGCGCCAGCTCTTAGGCAGGCCACAGCTGTACATATTCTCAATCAAATACTCAAATTTGGTAGCGAATGAGACATTAAGATCTGGATCTATAGCTTTAAAACGAGCACCAAATTTATCCCTCCATACTGATTTTTCAGCTTTGCCAAGTTTTTCGAGAGCTTTTATAAGATCTTTCTGGTCGGGTCTGCAATCATATATGAGAGTAATATCCTTCGGAACCTCAACTAAAAATTAATAAAGTAATAATAGTTCATTAATTATAAAGTAATAATAGTTCATTAATTAACAAACTAGTGACATACTTTCTTCTGGTGGGACATTTCCTGGTGGGCCTGAATTTCTATTCTCGAAGTCAATCAAATCGTATTCTAAAAAAGAGAGAAAGGAATACACACATGGAAAATTTAAACTCAAATAATCTACATGTATGTCATCTTGAAAACATATCAAAATTCTTAAAAATACTCAAGGCTATATAGCCCATGCCTTTTTCTGAAAAATGGCTCCGAAATCAATCCAAATTTTTATTACATTTTCTGATACATATTGATGTCCTTATGCTGTGTAGAAAGTTTGAGGTGATTCCGACTTTAATTTTTCAAGTTACAGCCATTTAAAAAAACGTCAAAAATCTGAAAAATACCCAAGGCTATGCTTTTTTGTAAAAAATGGCTAAAAAATGACCTCCACTTTTTATTGTGTTTTCTGATACATATTGATGTCCTTATGCTGTGTAGAAAGTTTGAGCTGATTCCGACTTCAATTTTTTAAGTTACAGTCATTTTAATTTTTAAAAACCCACTACTCAGTGACTCACTGTGTAAGAGTATTGGCTCCATTGAACTGACATAATGAGGTTCCTGGGGACCAGAAATGGGTGGAGCAAGATCATCCCACGTCTTGTCGAGTATCAAAGTAATCGGTAGGACGTATTTTTCAAGATTATCCATAAAAGTAAGACTCCATTTTCCAATGCTGTCTGGTTTGCCCTTTGGAACGACAGTGAAAGGTGAAAACGCAATGAGGTTGTTCCCGTTCTTTGGCAGCCATTTTGTATCCGTAACACCGAGAGACTCAACTTCAACTGATGTTACTAAATCACGAGGAGGGGATTGACTCTCATCAAGGCAACCATCAAATAGAAAAACCTTATTTTTGTGAGAGAAGTTGGTATTAAAAGGAGAGATGATGTCATCTTTGATGGAGATACGTCCATCTTTGCAGACAATGTACTTTCGATCGCCTTCAACATAAACAGGAGTGAGGAAGAGAAAGAAAACAGTAAAATTATTGAAAAGTGAATCATAATATTTCCTTTCCGTCGCTTCTTTCAATGCTGCAACTATAAAATCTTTCTTTTCGTCTATGATCGGCACAATGGCGAATTTGAAGAGTTTGCGAAATATATCCTCAACTTTTTGCTGGAAGTTCATTAGCGCCTTTCCTTTCAATAGACCAGATATTACTAGTATCAGGACGTGCTCGCTCTTCTCTTTAGTAACTGCTCTTGCTATTCCTTCTATCTTCTTCTCGACCTTATCTTTATCCGCCATTTTGAATTTCAGGGTTGGAATTCTTTTAAGTCCCACGCAAAAGGGTGGGGCTGGACTCGATCATATGCAAGCATTGGTAGTGAATGGTTGCATACATCATAAATTTTACTATAACGAAACGGTCTAGTAGTTAAAATGACACACAATACAGTTATTATTTGGCGTATTTGGCGTAGTTCTTGGCCATGTACTCTCTGACTGAGGTAGATATCATCTTTCTATCTTTCCCTGTTATAGGGACAGGGTTATCCAGAGCATATAGAACCACACCCCAAGAGAAAGGATGACGATACGTATACATATTCTCAATGAGGTACTCCAGTTTAGTGCAGAAGTTAATTTGAGTCCCTGAAGGTCCTTTCAGTCGACCTCCAAACCTTCTCCTCCAGGTGTCCCGATCCGTCTCTCCAAGGTCTTTAAGAGCAGCTTTCATATCAGCCTGATCTGGAGTAACGTTGTATATCTTCTCAAGGTCGGGCATATCTGTATAAAGAGACATAAAAATAAAATGAAGAGATGCAGTTGCATTAGTAAGTTATAAATGATAATAGTGTGTCTATAAATCTTACCACCACCATATGCCTCTGGAAGTTCAGCCCCTCCTCCTCCTCCTCCTCCTACTGAACTTGGAGGTTGAGATCCTCCTTTACCACCTGGTACATTTATAAAGAAATTAACAATAAATTTTTAAAAGTTTAATTACTTTTCACTGCCTCTACAGTATGGTTGTCATAGAACTGAGCTTTGTATTCGTCTAATTAATAAAAAATATATATATTTCATAGCAGCTGCAAAAAAATATCAATACCTTTCAAAAAGAAGAGCCCCATATAATTCAAATAATGTGGCCCCTGGACATACTGACCACCACTCGTGCTCTTCACAACTTCCTTCCAGGTTTTGTCCAAGATGTAAGAGAAGGGAAGATATGGAAGCTCACGGATAAACTTGCATAGAGCGTTTGTCCATTCTCCTCCGTCTGATGGTTTTCCTTTAGCCTTTTCTTCCATTGATGTAGAGTGTCCTATGAGCAGCGGCTGTCTCAAATCACCAAAAGAAGCGTCTTCAACTTTAGGAACAGTACTGCCAACCACTTTACCTGGAGACAAGCAGCTGTCAAATAGATAGACTCGCTTCACATTAGGACCGAGCTTGCTCACAGGTGGCGGCTCAAAAAACATGATTATATCTTCCTTGATGTACGAACGGACCCCAACCTCCCCAACTTCAGCATGTGGTATGATAAACTTTTGGCCATTATGATTTCCCCCGTGACCGGAGTAATACACAAAAACCTTATCAATAGTGTCAGGGTAAGACTGAGACGAGACGACTTTCATGACAGCCGGGATCTGCTCTTTAGTCGGGTTCTCGATACGCCAAACAGCAAAATTCACTTCTTCTGACTTGAAAACCTTTTCTATGTTATTAATGTCCACAACAGCTCCAGGGACACCTTGAGAACTAGTCATGCCCAGTAAGATGAGGAGACCATTCTTCCCTTCTAAAGTCGGGACTTTTTTCTTGAATTCTTCGAGGGCCTTGGACTCGTCTGATGGGTCTACTGTTGCTATAGGAAGAAAAAAGACATTGGTATTCATTTGGTGAGGTTTGTAGCATCTTTGGTTCTTTCTGTCACACTCTTGTCGGAGGCGAGCTCACCTATTTTAGCATTGGACATACTTCAGTTTATCTCAAACTAGATCTTTCTATAATTTGCTCAAACTCTGTCCAGATGGATCAGCTATGCTTCAAATCTTCCTGAATTCTTACCTAAGGCTAAGCCACACCCATACTCATGTAGTAATTAATAATTGAGTTTATTATACATGAATGTTATAATTAATTTTATTTATTATTATTATTATTATTATTATTATTGTATGATAATCCTCCATATTTTTATAGTTCTGTCATCAGAGCAAGACGCCATTAACTGAGGATCCTTTGGATGCCATGAGATACAATTAACATCAGTGGAATGAGCCTAAGGAGGATATACCATCAATAATGGTGTACATGTATCTGATACAGTGAACCTTTTCTTGTTGCCATAATAAAGAGAAGTTAGATTGATTTGGATCAGAACCAGGATCCTACAGTAGCAACAACAATAACAAATAAATAAAAATAAAATAAATAAACTTGCTTCTCTATATATTCTAATGGTGTCATCTCCTCCACCAGCTGCTAGTAACCCTGAACACTTTGACCTTGAAAGAGAGAGAGAAAGAAAGAAGTATAATCTGATTAATAATAACACATTCTTCCCCCTCCCTCTCTCTCTCCCTCCCTCTCCCTCCCTCCCCCTCTTTCCCTTCCTCCCTCACCAGTCAATAGTGTATATTGATCTTGTGTGATGTCCTCCTAAAGTACATGAACACTTCCATACTGTCTCCCCATCAGGAGTAGGAATACCTTATAAGGAAATGTACATGTACATGTATCATCAAGAAAGAGGGTCCTACCTTCGTTATTACCAGGTTTGTATGACCGCCATATTTTAATGGTTTTATCATCACTGCAAGAAGCTGAGGAGAAGGAGGAAAAAAAAGATTAAATAAATAAAGATGGTTCCAAATGAAACACATACCCAGTCTATTTCCAGATTCATCAAAGGCAACACCCCACACTGTGGAGGTGTGTCCTTCCATTGTACACGTACAGCTCCTACGTACGAGTAAATAAACCACACCCCTAGCCACACCCCTCACCAATCATCATCCTCTTCTTTATAAACTCTAATAGTATCGTCATAGCTTGCAGAAACTAGCACCTATCAATGTATGGTCACGTGATGGTCATGTGATGATCATGTGATTATGGCTTACGTCTTCGTGTGGATGCCATCTAACAGTTTTCACATCCTGAGTGTGGTGTAACAGAACACCTGAACATTCAAATTCTTCGCCATCACTGAGAACTAACAATAAATAAACAAATAAATACGACTGTGTGTCCTCATTATTCCCATTCCCATGTTCCTCAATATTCCATTCCCATACCTTCCCATACCCACACGCTCTTGTCTCTGCCACAAGTTGCTAGGAAGGAACCAGACTGAGACCATACCACAGACTTAACCTCATTCTCATGGCCTTCTAGTACACTCTTACACTGAAAATCTGAGAGAGAGAGAGAGGGGGGAGAGAGAGAGAGAGAGAGAGAGAGGGGGGGGAGAGAGAGAGAGAGAGAGAGAGGGGGGGGAGGGAGAGAGGGGGAGGGAGAGAGAGAGAAAGAGAGAAGTATCAGTATTAATTACAGTATCATTCACCTTGTCTCTTGTCCCATATACTAACAGTACCGTCAAAACTAGCAGCTGCCAACATGTGTCCACATGGTGACCAACCAACTGAAGTTTGAAAAAATTAATAATAATAATAATAATAATAATAATAATGACAACCTGATCTTATTGTCTTATCATGTCCGTCAGTCAATACAGTCTTACAGACCCAACTCTCTCCCTCCTTTCCCCATATCCTAATGTACATCCAACAGTCAAGGAATGGGACGCAATATCTTTTTAATTTTTGTAGTAATTTTAATAATTAATTAATTGTGTGGGTGGAGGATATATTTTTATCTCCAGAAGCTGATGCTAGTAGCGTTCCTGTTGGATTCCAAGCAACACACCAGACCCTGTCCTGATGCCCTGTGGGAATTAGATCACGTGAGAGTGACGTGACAAAGAGTATTTACCTTCAAGAGTTGCTACAATTTCCAACTTGGAAATCTCCATTTTAATTGTGGGTGTGACCAATCTAATTGGCCACGCCTTTTAGTAGGCTTGGTTTATGGCTAATGGATGGTAGGGTGAGCTAATTTACCTTTTTGACTTGGAAAGAGAGGAGAAAGACAAGATGGACGATCCATTACTCGGTCTTGCTATGTGGGAGACGGAGACAGAGGCCAACAGGTTGAAGAGGTCCAGCTCTACGTGTTCTAAAAGCAGCAAGAACTCTGCAGACCCCGTGGAAGAAAAATCCACCTCTCTCGACCCCCCTCCTCCTCTCCCCTTACCTGACAACAAGAGAGAACAAGAAAGAAGAGAAAAAGACACAAACATGTCGTCACACAACTCAAGTGAATGCTTTCCTTGTCTTTCAGCACTTGATCAAGATTTAGAACAAAAATTACGACAAACGAAAGATAAAGATGGGGCCACAGACCCGAAAGAGACTGAACATACTGATTCTACTAACGAGATACAGGGGAGGGAGGCGGTTCGGTTTGCCTCTCAAAGTCCTGAGCCGCTGTTAGAGAGCTTCTTGTTGCTACGCTTGTTTGAATCAAACCTCTTCACAATGCACATTGCTGTCCAGTACCTTTTTAAGGAAAGAGAGGCGAACGTTCAAAAGTATCTCGGGAAAAAACTAAAAGTGTGTGAAATAGAATAAATACTATTATACTAGTGGGGTCAAAAATACGTGTAGTAATACTATGATGCTACTCATGGTAATTTTGGTATCAAATAGTAATACTTGACTGAAGCCAAATCCAACTACAATTCTACTATAAACCTTTATTATATAACTTTATACAGTCTCTATTAAAGTAGTTTATCAAATTACTAATACTTAAACACTTGACTGATCGTTATTAATAAACATCTTTATGTGTACACAAGTACATACTGTAATTATTGCTATTGTTCTTTTAGGATTTTGACGACAATGAAGTTGATTTCTATCTACCAGAATTAGCGTGAGTTTTTCTAATCATACATGTACAATTTTTAATGAATCCATTTACATGTACTTTATCCCTTTTGTCCTTCAGTAATATGTACGTTCATGTTGAGAGTCTTTACCCAGTCCTTCACAAGTACTTCCTCAGTCGCTGCAGATATGACGTTATCTTCTCCCTCAAGGTAAATTAAAATGATAGAATAAAATAAGTAGTTCATTTCTTCTCCAGTTGGCTTGGTTACTGACGGCGAGTATTAGCGATACGTGGCTTCCTTCTTCTGAACTTCAGACTGCCTCTAGAATGCTCTCGCTAATCAAAACGGAGCAGATAAGACCGCCACTAATAACTCTGGCAACTTCACAAAAGTACATATTTACTTTTAAAACTTATATTTTATTTATTTATTTATTATTTTTCTCTGTTTTTTAGTGTTGCTTCTGTTCCTGGTTCTCCCTCTGCTTCACCATTTTCTCAGGATAAGCATCATCACAGATCTCTCTCTGCCAACTCTCCCGTCATCACTCTAAGTAGCTCAATGTCTACCATTTGTCCTACTTCCACTCAGTCTTGTAGCACCAGCAACTACTCAATGAACGGAAATAAAGTAATGGAGGACATGTCCATAAAATGACTAGTTAATTGTGTGCTTACTGCTTAGTAACCTGTACTTAATATGATCTTTTTTTCTCATTTTTCTCTCTTCCTTTCTCTCTCCCTCCATTCCAGGTATCCATTGGTGATTTAAGATCAGGTCAAGCCTTTGATAGTGGCTGTACTTGCTTTCTCTCCTCCTCTCCTTCTCCCCTACCAGTAGCACCTGCTTATAAAAGCTGTCAATGTCAGGTAAGTTTTAATTAATAATTATTATGAACATTCATTATTACTATTATTTATTAACATTGATTAATTAATAGTCACCCAGATTGTTGGCCCAGGATATTTTTGTTCGTACGCTGGGCCACATATCCAAGAGATTACTGAAGTATACTACACGTTCACTGAGAAGTACGTTACCCCAATACATGTACATGTACGTGCCTCTGTTTTATACTTATAGCTAGCCAGCTCTACGCTGAGTTATCACAATTGAATTTAAACCTCCCTGCCCGGGTCTGTCTCCCTCTGTACCCCCCGACTCATCAAATATTGAGGATACCCCCCACAGAGTCCGTCGTTCTCAATTCAAAGAGTAAAGCTCCTTATCTTCTGCTTGTTGAAGTAGCTCAAGTTGAGGATACTTTCCTATCGCCTTTGACGCAGAAACAACTGGACGTGTCATTGAAGTCCTCAGGACTGTAAGGGACATTGCATAGGAGACAGTTCTCCATTTTTATTACATTTCCTGATACATATACATGTACTTATATTGTGTAGAAAGTTTGAGCTGATTCCGATCAAAATTGGATTTTTTACGAATTTTAAAAATTATTCATTCCTCATTTCAGGGGACCCGATGAAGTCAAGAATTTCGTACACTCGGAAGGTCCATCCCCCGTGGGCACTAGAGTGAGTCAGCAGTCACATGACTCTCACATGATCCACCAACAGGTTTCATCGCTACCTAACCTTCGTAATGGAGGCATATCAGCTGACAGTGTTTCATTAACGTCACTCGATAACTACCCGACCAGCAGCATAATAGAAGAGAGAGAGGAGGAGGCTCCTGCCAGTGGCGAGGATAAATGTCTTGAAGGAAGCAGCAGCAACAGTAGCAGCAGCGATAAAGATGAGGAGGGAGAGGGATCTCCTGTAAGCAGCTGCCTTTATTGTCTTTTTAAAATTTCTTACTCCCTCTTTCTTGTAGGTGACATTCCATGTTAGTGAGATTCGAAGAAGACTCTCTAAAGAGATTGGAGCTCCTAAAAAGAACTTCTCAAGGAATCCTGATGATCCTTCCGGTAAATACGATACCTGATTTTAAATCTAATCATTCTCTTTCTTTCTCTTTCTATGCAGCTGCTGCCATGAAGGAAATGTGGGAAAATAAAGTTGAAAGAATCAGACAAAGATCTCCTTATGGCCACTTACCAAACTGGAGTGAGAAATTTATAAATATTATGATTAAATCTTTCTCTCTCCTCTCTCTCTTTTTCTCAGAGTTACTGGCTGCCATAGTAAAGTGGGGTGATGATTTGAGACAGGAGCTGGTCTCATGGCAGCTCCTCGAGCAATTTAAAAGAATTTGGAAAGAAGAGAATGTCTCCTTGTGGCTCAGACCGTGAGTCTATATAAACTTTACTTTGCTCTCGGAGGAGTAGATTTGGGGAATTAGCTCAAATGGTAGAGCGCTCGCTTAGCATGCGAGAGGTACCGGGATCGATGCCCGGATTCTCCACATTGATTTTTTTTTTTTCCTTTTTTTATTCACTTTTTTTCTTGTTCTTAGATACACTGTAATGGTCTTTTCATCAGATGGCGGGCTGGTGGAGCCTGTCTGTAATGCTGTGTCACTCCATCAAATAAAGAAAGAGTTTAAAGGCTCACTTTTAGACTATTTTAAACACGTACGTACATCTGTATGAAATAATAATAAATTATTTCTTATTGATTATCAATAGGAGTATGGTGAGACTAATAGCGAAGGGTTTTTAACATCTCAGCGCAACTTTGTTGAAAGCTGTGCAGCCTATTGCCTCATCTGTTACTTCATACAGGTCAAAGACAGGTAATACCGGTTTGTAAAACTAGTCAGTCAGGAATCTCTCCCTCTCTCTCTCTCTTTTAGACACAATGGCAACATATTACTGGATTCTAAAGGTCACATCATCCATATTGACTTTGGTTTCATTTTGGCGCATTCTCCTGGAAAGAACATTCGCTTTGAGAGCTCGCCGTTTAAACTAACGCAAGAATTTGTCGAAGTAAAAAAGGTTAAAATTATCATGACATGTACTCTTTTCCTTATTAGGTGATGGGCGGGGTCAACAGCGATATGTACAGGTATTTTAAAGTCTTGATGTTGCAAGGTTTTTTAGCGGCAAGAAAACACATGGAGCAGATAGTGAATATAGTTGATATCATGCAAACCGGTACAGAGTAACATAATTAATGTAATAATATATGCTGTTGCTGTGTAGATTTTACTAATTTTTACAAGTTTGTCCATACAAAATTTACATCGTTCAACCTAATTTTGGCTGATTCTAACCCTCAAAAATCAGCACCTGCTCTTTTATTTATATACAATGTTCATGTATTGTATAGTTATTCTTCTCCTTAATATTCCTTTCTTTCCTTTCATGACAGGCTCACAACTGCCTTGTTTCTCTCACGGTCCGACTACAGTCAAGCAGTTACAAGATAGATTCCACCTCTCACTAACAGAGCAGCAGCTGGAACTGTTAGTTAACGGAATGATTGAAACCAGCATGTACTCACTGACCACCAAACTCTATGATGGGTTTCAATATCTGGCTAACGGGATCATGTAGAAGAGGAGTGGCTCTGTGGGAGGAGCCTCATATTAATGATTATTGATGTACTTGTGTGTTTTCAGTGAATCTCAACTGACCAAATTTTCAAATCACTATTGATATTATTATTATTATTATTATTATTATTATTATTGTTATTAATTTAATTATGAGTGTCAGTCAATGCTAAAATAAACAAATTCCAACAACAATCTACTAAAATAAGTAACTTTGTACAAATAAATAAATAATAATAATAATGTCCACTTGGTGGTAATATTATATAGGAGCTCTTAAACACATTAAATTCTTACTAATAATAATAATACTGATAGTGAAGGTATGTATGCGTAATGTAGAGAGTGTCTCCCTCAATAAATAATAATAATAATAATAGCAATATGTTGTTGTACATTCATTATACGATACAATTCACTCTATCAATTGGTACAATTATTTGGTTGCCTCCTTTAAGTGAGCTATTAGATCTAGAGAGGGAGAGAGAGAGGGAGGGTCATTAATAAATAAAATGATCATTAAAAAGCAGCTGCTTCTAATGTCAAAGTACCTGCTCTCTCTTGTGGCTTCTTAAGTCCAGCAAACACCATCTTAGTCCCTGGTATGTACTTCTTGGGTGCCTCAAGATATACAAATAGAGTGTCCTCGCCCCATGTTATTCCTGGTGGTGGGCGTGGCAATCAATTAACAATGAATATTAATGAGGTGTGATACCTTTGCTCTTGTTCGCTTGAGTATAAGTGAAGCCTGGGGCTTGACCGGTTTTACGACCAAACAAACCGTGTAAGTTAGGACCAGTTTTATGCTTACCACCCTAGAAAAGAGAGAGAGAGTGAATCAGAGAGAGAAAGGAAGAGAGAGAGAAAGGGAGAGAGAGAGTGAATCAGAGAGAGAGGGAGGGAGGGAGAGAGAGAGGGGGGGGGGAGAGGGACAAAAGAGGAGCAAGCTTACAGCTTCAGTCGTATGACATTGGGCACATCTCTGCTTGAATATCTTAGCTCCGTTAGCAGGGTCTCCTTGAGGTATACTCATCTATCAAAAAGGAAAGGATATACCAGCAGCAAACAGAAAGTATGTATAAACATAAAGTGATGTAATGTTACAATACTGAATGATGCAACAATGACAGCTACATGTAAGATTACATAAGTTACATACAATGAATTCTCTCTACAATAAAAGACACCTTTATAATAAGATTCTGTGTGAACTTGTATATACAAAAGTACCTCTGAAATGAGGACACCTCTGTATTAAAGACAGGTAGTGTAGGCTCAATGGTGTCCTTAATAAAGAGGCTACACTATTATCATGATTAGTACACTAATTTATAGTTTAATTTATGGTAAAGACTATTTAGTGTCATTTAACACATATCACAGTACGACTTTAGCTATCAGTTTTATTTGAGTGGCTGGGAGAGACTTTTAACTTGCATCTGGTCTGTCAGTTCTTACCTTTCCCAATAGCTGTAAGATTGATCTCCTCTGTAAAGCCTTCTCTTTCTCCTCTGCTTTCAGTGAAATGCAGTGATATCCAGTGACCACTCCTTTCTCCTTGGTAACCACAGAGTCTAAAGTTCTCTGCAAAAAGCTGCGCATGCGCAAATTTATATACCGCTAAATATTTTTAACCCTTTGACTCCTACGTTTGTAGGTTAGTATACGGAGATTGAAAAATCTCAAGTTTCTCATTCCTTCGCCTATAAAGTTTTGGTGATTTCAATTTTACTAGAATATACGGGGATTATTGACCACGCCTATTGGAGGGCGTATAACAAAATGGCGTCTAATAAAGGTATGAAATTATTTATTATTTTTATTAATTCATCTATTATTATAGAAGTAATGACGGTCACACAGCGTATAATTGGACTAGATACTCAATATAATCCATTAAGACCGCTCCCTTCTAACCAATACAGTGAGAAAAACAGTTAAAACACTTTTTCATAATTAGCTTTTTGTATTGTTCATGCCAGAAATGTTGTATTTAAGGAGACGTAACCAATTGCTGCAGGAGAAGGCTCGTAATCGTGATGATCCTTCGATTAGACGTTCATATTTAGTGATGAGGTCACAGATATTAGGCAGTAGATATGGACCAATTGAGAAAAAGTACTTTTATAATAGTAATAATAATTATAATTATAATTATTATTATTATTGTTTGTTCTTTCAGATCGTCATCTCACAATAACAAAAAGAATCACAAACAAGTAATTTTATATTAATTTTATTATTATTATTATTATTATTATTATTATTATTATTATTATTATTATTATTATTATTATTATTATTGTATAGAATGCTGATTCATCATTACCTAAGGCACCTGGAGAGACCTCCTTCCTCACTCCTTCTCCAATGAGGTACCACTCAGCTGGTCTCGTACCAACCAGAGCGGCTCAAGCCAGCAGGTAACAGAAACACCTGAAGATATCCTTTATTATTTGTATAATCTCTCTCTTCTCAGGGCTATGGCTGGAGACAATACGTTACAGGAACATTATGCTTTCTGTGGAATGCAGCACATTTTTGATCAGCATAAAGGAGGTGTGACTGTCATTAAATTTGCAAACGATGATCGTACTTTGTTGGCCTGTGGCAGTCGGGACGCTACTCTTAGCGTGTTTACTCTTGTCTCTGAGCCACCATCTTTACACTGCACTCTCAGAGGACATGAGAAAGAAATTAATGGTATATTAATTAACTAATGAAAAATGCTTTTATAAGTGATCATAACTCAAAAATTGAAGTCGGAATTACCTCAAACTTTCTATACAGCATTAGGACATCAATATGTATCAAAAAATGTAATAAAAATTGGGTGTCATTTTTTAGCCATTTTTTCGAAAAAAGCATGGGCTATAGCCTTGGGTATTTTTCAGATTTTGGCAAATTTCTTAAAATGGCCGTAACTTGAGAAATTGAAGTCGGAATCACCTCAATCTTTCTACACAGCATAAGGACATCAATATGTATCAGAAAATGTAATAAAAATTGGGTGTCATTTTTTAGCCATTTTTCCGAAAAAACCATGGGCTATAGCCTTGGGTATTTTTCAGATTTTGGCAAATTTCTTAAAATAGCCGTAACTCGAAAAATTTAAGTCAGAATCAACTCTAACTTTCTACACAGCATAAGGACGTCAATATGTATCAGAAAATGTAATAAAAATTGGGTATCATTTTTTAGCCATTTTTCCGAAAAAACCATGGGCTATAGCCTTGGGTATTTTTCAGATTTTGGCAAATTTCTTAAAATAGCCGTAACTCGAAAAATTTAAGTCAGAATCAACTCTAACTTTCTACACAGCATAAGGACGTCAATATGTATCAGAAAATGTAATAAAAATTGGGTATCATTTTTTAGCCATTTTTCCGAAAAAACCATGGGCTATAGCCTTGGGTATTTTTCAGATTTTGGCCTATTTCTTAAATTTGCCGTAACTCGAAAAATTTAAGTCGGAATCAGCTCAAACTTTCTACACAGCATAAGGACATCAATATGTATTTAAAAATGCAAAAAAATTTGGGGTCATTTTTTGGCCATTTTTGGAAAAAACCATGGGCTATAGCCTTGGGTATTTTTCAGATTTTGATATATTTGGTTTTGATCTTGAAAATCTTAGTGTTACACTTATCTTTCTTGCTAGATTTTGACTGGTCGATTGGCAACGATTTCATAGTCTCCGCCTCCTCTGACGGGACCTACAGACTCTGGAAGTCCAACTCTGGGAAGTGTTTACGGATCATATTCGATACCAGTGGCTGTCACTCAAACTGCTGCTGCTTCCACTCACAAAATGGAAACTTCCTTATCGTAATTATCACTTTATTATGAGTAATAACTCTTGGTAATTTTCTCTCTCTCTCCTTCTCTCCAGACTGGTAACAGTAAAGGGCAGTTAAAGGTCTACAATGTGTCGACAGGTAAAGGTGTCAAAGGTGGTAACAGTAAGACAGCTGGTTCCGTGCTCTCGCTAGCCCTGGAGTCCTCAGGGGGCGTGGTTTGGGCTAGCGACAGTAAAGGCTCCATGTTCTCATTTTTGATGGACTCAGTGTCCGGCCGACTCCAGAGATTAAAGAGGTGATTATTAATCAAGTTAAAAAGCCGATTATTGGAATTATTAATTTAGACTGATGATAGAAGGAGGTGTCCCCATTACTTCAGTCTCCTGTCGTACCTGGGCCAGTCGTGAAGCACGAGACCCAACCTTGTTATTATCCTGTGCCGATAACTCCCTCAGACTATACAGGTACTAATACACTAGTACAGTATAGCTGCTACTTCCTCCTCCTTTTAGGATATTAAGTAATGGAGAGGTATATTTAAAAAGGAAAATGGCCGTGCCACATTCTAACGAAGCCATTCGTAGCGCCTTCTGTCCCCTAATGAGTTTCCTTCAGGTAAACCAGTACTAACGCTACCTGATACCATGTCACGTGACAGGGGGCGTGTGTTGTGTCCGGAGGTGAGGACGGACACGTCTACATGTATGACATAGAGACTGGGTCTCAGGTCAATCGGCTTCAGGGTCACTCATGTCCGGTTCTTGACGTATCCTGGACTTACGATGAGAGCTTACTAGCATCATGTGACAATCAGGTGATAATAATAATAATATAATTATTATAATTATTACCGTCTCTTCATAGGGAACTGTTATTATTTGGAAGAGATGTGGCAATGATTCTTGATATTTTTAATGACCAAATATGGAGAGTGTGTGTCCATTAGCTTTTGGTTTTTTTATGTTTTTGTGTTCGTTTTGAGAAATGTCTTTTTTGCATAATAAAAAATTGAAAACTAATAAAACAGAAAAAGAAGAGAATTAAGTAATAAATTACAACAGCTACACGATAATAATAATAATAATAATAATAATAATGAATCTAAAGACACAGCATACAACAGTACTAATTAGGAGACAGGAAGAGTTAAACATTTTAAAAAGACGTTCATCTCTCTATCTCTTTCCATCCTCAAACGGTTTGTCTTGAAGTTAATACACGGACAATTGAGCCAACGCCTCCCGAAGCAACCGCCTGTAATGAAAATTAATTAATAACTAGCCACACCTACTTAAAACCACCACATCAAAAATTTCTACAAAATTTAAAACTTTTACAAGTACATGCATAATTATTACTAAGCTCCGCCCATTTTAAGTGGCCACACCCACATACAAATTGATGCCAGACTAGTAATATCCCGCAAGAGTTCTCGGTTGGTTCGGCAAACCCTCTATATATGTACTTCATAAGGACGTCAACCTGGTCCGAGTTCAACTTATTGACAGCTTCCTCAACGTCCGACTGCTTGAAACGAGTGAGGACATCAAGGACTATGTCAAAGTTACGTTTCTAAAGGTGTGACATTAAATAGAATAATTAATACGTAGAGTACAGCTGGTAATATAGGAGGCTTTGATACAAAGAATTATGCGCATATTAAATGACTTATGGTCATAAAATTAAAACTCACAAGAATTATAGAGTTATCAGCTTTACAGTGTATTGTAAATTCATTAGTTACCTTTGCTTTTTCATCTTTAGTCTGAAGTGGTGGGTCGGCCAAAGCTGCCTTCAAAGCTTCAAAATTCTTACCACCGGAAATAAACTTTTTAACTTCGGCCTCCCTAAAATAACAACAATAACAATAACAACAACAACAACAACAATAACAATAACAACAAGTTAATGAAGTCAATAATCAGTTGAAATGTCCCACTTATTAATGCCATAAAAGGAATTAGGCATTTACTTTTCAAAATGTTAATATTAATAAATAAGAGATGTAAGTAATCATAAATGTTAATAATGTTAATATATCAAGTAAGGTTACCTGCTGGCAATGGAGTCTGAATCATCTCCGCCTTCTGGTTCGTCCTGGTACTTCTCCTCGTCTAGTTCATCAACATCAACCTACAGAAGAGATGGACTCACTTCTTCTCTCCCTCCCTTACCTTCCTAAACTCTGTACTAAGAGTCACTTTAGACATTTTAGGCAAAAACTTGAACTCTAATAGTCTCTCACACCAAATGTAAACCTAGTAATACTCCGTATAACTGCTTCCTATTCAGTATACTTTTTTGTGGGCGGAGATTTTGTATACTCTCGTTTCCATCCGGATAGATCTACTTAATTAGGTGTGGTTTAGGGTGGAGCTTAATAAAAATGGCGGGTCCTGTGAGAACTGTAAACCTGCCTTACTGTCCTGAAGTCGGGAAATATGAGAAACTGACTAAAGTAGGACAAGGGACTTTTGGGTAAGATAATATTAGTACCTTGTAGAATTTATAATAAAGGTGGTATTTAGGCATTTATTATTATCATTATATATGTATTAAATTTTAATTATTATTGATTGTTATAATATAGTGAGGTTTTTAAGGCCAAAGACAGAAAAACGGGTCGACTTGTTGCGCTAAAGAAAGTTTGTATGGAGAACGAGAAAGAAGGAGTGAGTACAGTATCTAACTTTAATTATAATATCATGTTAAATTGATTGTAATTTTATATTAATAATAATTTATCATTGCTGTATTTCAGTTTCCCATGACTGCTCTGAGAGAGATACGGATACTTCAGTTGCTGCAGCACAACAATATCGTTAACCTTGTGGAAATATGTAGATCAAAAGGTAAAAACTATAGTGT